TGCAAAAATAGAAACCCGTATTGTTGATCGTTTTGGCTACACTGAGGAGGCAGTTCAGTGGGCCGACGCTGTTTTTTCTGCTGGAGGTGATGGGACTTTTCTTCTTGCAGCCTCACGAGTAAATGATAACAAAAAGCCTGTGATAGGCATAAATACTGACCCAATTGGGTGTGTGTTATAGTGAATTTTTATGCTCTCTTTTAATTGTTAATTTATGTAGTCTTTCAAAACGAGTCTTTTTAGAGTGGAAATTGTCAGTTTGTCATCCTGTATAAAAAGATAATTTTTTTGTAGACTGGCTTTTGTCCCTATCTTCCTTTCCGTTACGCTGAATAACTTTTACCCATTACTGTTTATGAATGGGTTTTATGGGAATATTCTTTTTTTTTGACCTGAGAACCATTGTGTTATTGATGGTCAGGCTTTTTCGATATTCTATTTGATTGTATTTAGGTCGGAAGGATATCTGTGTTTTTACCAATCGTTAGTTCGCCAGAAGTTTAAAGATGGTCTGGAACGACTACTAAAGGGTGCCTTTAGGTACGAATAAAAATATATATTTTTATATAGTTTTATCACTATGCTATTTTCAGTTGGCTGTATAGGCAAAGAATACGAGTAACGTTGAAAGGTGGTTTGAGCGATTTAAAACATGCAGAAATTTATGAAGAGCGGTATAACTCTGGAAGAAATATTAAGTGGGAAGTTAAAAAAGACCCGTTAGTTTTACATCACTATTATGTCTAATAACGCATTTCAATTTTGGTTTCATCGCCACCCTTAAATAAGTTTTTTCAGAGTTTTAAACTATTTTTACCGAGTCTGTTTTTGTAAAAAGTACACGGCATACTTAGTCTAAAAAGGAATAGTACTCACTTTGAAAAAAGTCACTGCTAAGCCTGAAATCAGTGTTTCAACAGCTGGCGGCATCTCCTTTCAAGTTGTGTTGCAGGTGATTTAGTAGCATGAAAGGTGAAGAAAGGTCATTGGAAGTTGATAAAGTTGTAAGAATCTTGTAACTGGAAGATTTATTTGTTCCAGAAAAAGCTTTATATTACCTCGGCTTGGTTGTAAAGAACTGAAGGTGCTTTCTGAACACGAAATGATGCTTCCTGAGCTAGCTTTAAATGATGTGTTTATGGGGGAGATTCACTCTTCAAGAGTTTCATATCACGAAATGCAAGTTGATGATCGAGATCCAGTTAAACAAAAAAGTAGCGGTATAACTGTATGTACGGGTCAGCAGCGGATTATATCTTTACGTTTTATTTAATTTATAAAAAGTGAAAGGAAGATTTATTAAAGGTACTACGTGCCAAGAAACTCCTGTCGTAAAAAATTTTAAAAGAAAATTAAAATACTTTAGAAACTTTATCAGTTAGAGCTAACACGTCCTGCTTATTTACGATGATTCGCTCACGAGTACTTTTTGCTAGCAAAGGAGATAGTAATAGTGTTGATCTCTTCTTTAGGTACTGGCTCAACATCTTGGTTCTTCAATATCAATAAACTTACGGACCAATCTGTATCTGATATTCTGGAAATTTCTTCTGCAGAATTGTCTTTAAAATTACCTTATAAAGATCCACAAATTGTCAGCCACATCTGCCAGGCTTTTAACAGTCGCCTTGTTTTTAATCCCGCTGATACAAGTTAGATATTTGTTTGCTTACCCTCATTTAATTTTTTTTCAAAAATTCATAGAATCCCATTTGTTTTTACGGGATTTTGTGGATTAAAATTTTTACTGCAGTTGGCCCTGGTGCCTAAAAGATTGGTGACATTTTTTTGCCTCACTTTGGAAACAAAGGCGTTTATAGTCGTGTTTGTTCCATTATGACAACTTCTGTATACCCAGTTAATCAGAAGTTAAATTGGTGACTTTAAGAGATGGCTTTCACTATCCGAGATCCTGTCCATAATTCAATATTTCAACCTTCTGTGTCTCGAGGTTTTGCAAAGAAAATATGTGTTCGGTCGCGGTGTTTTGATGCGCATATTGTGATTGACGGCGGAGTTGCTTACAGATTTAATGACGGATCTGAAGCAGTTCTCCAGGTTTGAGTCTATTCTTGCGCCTTCTTTCTTCCTGTCACATTTGATGCACTATGCTTGAGGTGCTTTAGTATGTCAGCTACGAGTTTTTCATTTAATTTTCTTCTTGCCCTTCTACCCCCCTCTTTAGCCGTCATTTATTGCACTGTCAGTTCCCTTTTTTATGAAGATAACAGCGGTTCTTCTGAGCTAACTCTCTCGATGCAAGGTCTTATGTTTCTGAAGACTTAAGCATCAAGCACAATGGCCCAGAGATTGCTTCCATTCATAAGTATAGAAGCAAACTTCAAGGACATAGAACGGGTTATATGGGTAGTAACATTTCAAAAAAGGAAAGATGTTACTTCCAGTTTTTGAAATGGCAGAATCCTCACCATATGACCTTTCAAACACGGTCTTTTTGCTGACATTTGGTGTCGATTAGTTTGTGTTGTGAACTGCAGTTCCTGGTGCCTCTTATTTTTCTAAGAGTTGCACTATACTTTTTGTGCTGTTTAAACTACCTTAGATTGGGGAATCCAGAGGAGAGGGAAATTAGACCTCAGCACTGGTAAACAATACATCTATTAATCAAGTTGTGGTTCAGCACCTTTTCTTTCCAGATGCGGCCAGAAGATTCGCTGAAAACTGCGATAATTCGTTAAATACATTCCGTTCTTCCCCAGCATATATAGCTGGAACGAAGGCTGACACAAAAGCAGATTCTGACGGGTATACTAATGCTATTATGCGTGGTTGCTTCATCGGAGTCATTTCTTGGCATCTGCTAATAAAACAAAATCTATTCATTAGTGGGGTTGAAAGTTTAAGTTGTAGTCTCGATTGCTGCATGAGCTGAAAGTTTAATTAATTGATAAATTAACCCACAAGCCAATTCCGACTGAAGAAAAACCAATGCCGAGTTAGATATCATTTTGTGATTGACGAATGTCTTTATTATTCAATAAAAATTTTTCGGAAATTAGTTATACACGTGCACCTGCATTAACAAATCCTGCTTATCTCCTTCATATGGCATCCACTTCCTTATTTACATTTATGAAATTCTGCAGAAACATTGCAAGCTCATCCTTCTGAGAATAAACGGTCAGTTTACAATTGAAGACAAACCGACTTGACCTCGAAAATTCAGTTGATGGTGAGTATCCTACACGATAAGCGCATTCTAGAAGGAAAAGAATAAAAAAATTTGAGAGTCCAATAAATTGTTAGCGCAAAGATATTTTACAAAACTGCAGGAGTTAAAACTTAAGCTCACCATTAACTGAACTGCCGCCTCTGCGTCAACAACTTCAAAATTCCTTCACTGGCAAGATAAAAGAATCACGCACCTAAGAGAGCTCGAAGCCCGCACCAGCATTTATGGCGACGCGCAACTTCTCTCTAAGGGTTTCAAACTGAGGGTACACTGGCAGCTTCAGAAGGTTCATGCATGTTCCCGCCGTGGGGAGCCTGTCTACCTCCTGGTGTAATAGCTGTATCCCCATAGGCGGATTCAAAGCCTTGAATACTCTAGTCTAAGAGTAGTTAAAAACAGGCAAAGACATACAAGTCTTAAAAAGGCTTACTAAATGTGCACTCATTTAAGGTAAGAGACTCAAAATGACTTGCTTTGAAGCCCATTAATGGTGGCCTTGGACATCCAGTAACAAACTTTAAAAATTCTCTTTTCTCCGCACTCGAGAAGGTACTAAGAACCATCCAAAAAGATTCGATGTACAGCTTGTCATCATCAGCTAAAATATACAAACCTTTTGTATTTGCAGTACCCTTCCTCCTTCTCCTTAATTAAACATGATGATCAACCAAAAAATATGTTTTTGAGACGAGTAAAAGCAATACAGCTATCTAATGTTGTCAATGGTGTAAATTACCAATACCATTTTTCAAAAAATTGCATCACCTTTCATTAACTTACATTGTATATTATGCACTGTAGTAAACCTCCGTAACTCTTCAAAATCAACTTCGGAATCAACACCTCCTATCAACATTGAAATTTCCGCAGGGGAGAATATTCTAAGCCATTCTACGTCTATAACACTTCTAAGCCCATCAAGGAAAGCCGCCAGCATCGGTTTTATCTATAACAAAATGATAGCAGAAAGAAACAACACGTATCCTGTGGTTTGATAAAATATTAAAATACTAAACCAAGATAAAAAATAAGAGTTAATCACCCGTTTTGATAAGAAGTAGTTGACATATAATGCAATATACTCGGAACGGTTTTCAGCAGTAACTTTGATTTCGTCACCATTTTCTTTAAGAGTGATCTTCTAAAAACACTGGGAGGTCCAACACAATCTCAAAATCACAATCAACAAAAGAAAGCATAAAATCAATCACAGTTCATACCTTTGTAACTCCAAGGTCATCAACTAAAACACTGAAATCTAGCTCCAATGCTTCTACTTCTTGAGGTGAGCAATATTTCAAATACTTCAAGTTTGCGTGGACAAGAGGGTCATAAGACCTCACATATTCCAAATCCAATGTCCCGTTCACACATGGATCGAGCCACTGAAGTATGAAAAAGTCAGCAAAACGCAAGTCCGCCAGAAGGCCTTCGTAGATCAGCTGAAATAAAAACCGATAAGCGAGTCGGTGAATTGCTGTTAAAGCCATTCAGAACAATGATTAACGACTTTTACATCAAAAGATCGACATGAGCTAAAAACTCGAAATTTATATCCGACTCTAGAAACGTATTCAGGCTAATTGAACAAAAAATTCCTGAGCCCAGTTTACTTTACTCCTTTTTGTTCCTAACAGCTAACCTTAGCAATAATACGGCCGATGAAATAAAAGTGATCGTGGAAGTCGCAATACAACGACATGGCAAGCGGATTAGGATACAACATCTGATCGTGCGTAATCGCAAAAAATCCATGGGCTGGGTCGACGACTGTCCGCAACAACTCTGACATGAACTCTCGAAATATGCCACCTCCGTCGATCCCAGCCTCGTTCAAACCAGACCAGTTAATCATTTGAACTCTTAAGGCATTACGCAAGTCCGGCGCTAAAGCAAAACGCATTTGGTTTTTTGGAAAATGTAAAGAATTGACAGTGTGAAGGAAAGCAAAATGTCATTTAGAAGCACTGCAGAAACATTAAAAATCTATGGCAAACCATTAGAAGCTACCTTTTGCTGGTGAGAGTGCTGCAAAAGCATCTTCATAAATGGAATCACGATGAACCGTTACATGATAAGATTCGCGGCCTGGAAATATTGTTGTAGTTCAAAGTGGCAGGTTTGTTGCACAAAAAAGCAAAGGGTTCTGGAAAAGCGTGTCAAAAAAACCAATTTCTCTATTCCGGTGCGAAGTTTTTTTGGATTTATTAGTTTCTAAAAAGTTGAAGAGTCAACGTAGCTCTTTTTCAAATTAAGCCGCCACTTACTAAAAGAGTCGTGACCAGTTTGAGCTTTGTTCCGCATAATTACTTCAGTGAACATCTATAAAAGTCATAATAAGCTTCATTTTAAAAGACCTTTGAGGTAATATTATCTTATGCTTAGTATCTTAATGAGCATTAAAATGCCCTTCTCAATTAACATTTTCATATGAATAAAACAGTGGAGATTTTTGTGAAAGCGTATTAAATTAATGTATATTTCTAGAAACAGCCAAGTGTACATAGCACTCAAAAATGAAGAAATACCTCAACACGTTGGATAAAGGGCAAGACAAAAGGTATCGCTAAAAGAATGGATATATTCCGGAGCTCAACTGCAGATGGGGGCTCATCCTCCTCAACACCATTTTCTTCTTTAAGCATCAACCTAACAAAGTCAAACGGCCCTCCTCGCACTCTGCGTCGTCTCTGCCCTCCTGGCCAAAACGACTAGAAGTTCTAACTAATCAGTTTCCGAAAAGCTGTACTAAGACGAAATTTTTCAAAATTTCTAGGCATTGAGAGCACCTTATTGCGGTTTTTTGACGCCTTTTTCTAGAAAATTGAAAAAGTGCAAGCTCAGGTTTTTAGGAATGAGGTAAATTTATCACTTCTTGTGCCTTTTGAAACAAACATCTTACCGAGCTGATGACTACTCGAACTACTTGTTTTTCGTGAGTGGACCAGTAATTTGGCTCCATGAAGTGAAGACGACAATCACGTTCATAAAACATTTTTGTTACTGCCGTTACCTGCTGTAATAAAAAAAAAAAAAA